CACACACACACACACACACACACACACACACACAGAGTTGCAAGCGAGCAATGAAAGAAGCGTTCTCTTCACCTGTTGTAGGTCTTGCGAGCATCCTGGACGCCCCCAATATCCATTGACGAATCGATCAACATGATTGCCACCTCTGGACCACTACGACCGGATGTGCCACATCCCAACGCCAACGCCTTCTCTGCCATCTTCATCAGTCTGTCCCAGGAAGCCTTAGATTCTCTGAAGAAACAGATTGCCTGCAAATCATTTCAGCACATGGTCTCAGCTTCGCACGACGAAGAACACACGTCATCCCCACGTCTAAGCTCACATTGCAAACAACACAAATCCGGAACAATTGGAGTCCTCTCAAACACCCCAAAGCAGTGATTTGGCTGTGGTAAGCCTTTACACACTCCTAAACACCAAAAGTACCGATTTACATGTCAGAAGGCTTATAAACCGCCAGAACATCATCGCCCAGGCAAACTTGAGACTTGAAATCGAGCCAATCCCAAAATTTTGGGGGCTCGGCGCTACCAGCCCACAATGACTGGTGTGCCAGCCAAAAAAGAATAAAACTGGCCACTGGCGGTTCAGCAAAGCTTGGCACACAGTGCAAGTTCGCCGCGGTGAAAAGACATTTGGATGTACTGGTCCTTTAAAAACACCCTTAAACCACCAGTTCACGTGAACTGAAGTCGTGCTCTTACCCGTATATGAGGAAAGAGCTTTTCGATTCCGGCCTGGGCCAGTTGTGCGAGTGCCGGGCCACTTTGAAAAGGGCAGTTCCAGTGTGGCATAGGTATGCAACATCCAGGCTCCCGAGCCTTGAACGCTAGCTTTGTGAACTAAGGCTCTTAGTGAACTGGTGACTCCAACTCCCCAAAGTAGTAATTTAGCTGTGGCAAGGTTTCCCAGAACAGTTATTTAGCTGTTGCAAGGCTCCAAAAACACCCTTAAACACTGAAAATACTGACTGATCCACTTGTTGGAAGGCTTTAAGCCAGCACTACGTCCGAGACTCTTTTGCTTGTGGTGGAATTGCGGTGTGCACCGAGTTCAAAAATGAGCCGGTGCAACACTCTTTTTTTTTACTTCTTGGCTGGCATCACCTCCCAACGAGGTCCAGGAGGCAGAGCCCCTAAACAATGCGGAAGTAGACAAGTCCGTCGCAAGCGTTGCCCTGTGAAAGGTAGTTGTGGTTTAAAAAACAATCTCGAACACCCCAAAGTAATGACTTAGCTCTCGCAAAGTTTCCCCAGAGCAGTGATTCAGCTGGGGCAAGGCTTTAAAAACACCCTAAACACCTGTAGACACAGTGATACAGTTGTGGCAAGGCTTTAAAAACAGCCCTACACATCTCCGAGCAGTGATTTCGCTGTGGCAAGGCTTAAAAGACACCTGTACACACCCTGAAGCAGTGATTTAGCAGTGGCAAGCCTTTGAAAACAACCCTTAACACCCCACAGTAGCGACTTAAAACCACCAGTACTTCCGAGGCACTTTTCTCCAGGGCTGGAAACGTGCTGCGCACCAAAAAACAACGAGTTGGCTGGCACCACCAGCCATTTGGCGCCAGCAGCCGAGGCCCGAAAAAAGCAGCGCACTAAAGCCCCTGGGCCCTGACCAGAAAAAAAAAAAGAGTGGGGCCAAGTGCTGGAGGTTCAAACCACCAGTGCCTCGCCCTCCTTTGAAAACACCGACGCGGCGTGTTACGGCCACATTGGACGGGGGTCGGGGGAGAAACAACCGGTACCAACCTACAACAAAAAAAAAAGCAAATTCCTGAAACTAAAACAAAACGAATGACAAAAGAAACGGGGCAGGGCGGAGTTGGGGGTTGGGGGGGGGGAGAGAGAGAGAGAGAGAGAGAGAGAGAGAG